CCGCCAAACCTGGCTCATGGAGGGAGTCGTCGTAGATTTGGCACGACCTTCAGGACAAAACTCTTGTTAGCCACGACGCCCACAGTATGTCCTCTTCGTGTTTGCTGCGCACACAACAGGCATCTGCCACTGCCGTGCGCCGGCTTTTCTGGCTTACTGGTGCCATCTAGCGGCGTCCCTGAGAAGGTCTGTGTGGGCCATCTACCGGCGTCATCGACCTGCTGTCACCACCTACCGGCTTCCCTGGACTGCAGGCGCTCACGGAGCGGGTCCATCTTGCGGCGCACGCGCAGGAACATGTAGGCGCCGATAGCCAGGCCGATGCAGATGGCGGCCACCAGCAGGGCGGTGACCAGTGCTGCCATCTCGGCGACCGTCATGTCGGCCGTGTCCAGAAACCGCTGCGCTGAAGCCGTCGGTGCACACCGTCACACAGTGGGGCAGAAACCGTCACACAGTGGAGCTTTTAAGGGTGGCGTCGGTCAGCGATGCATGCAGCTGTGGTGGGCATGAGATCGGAGCAGTATGCGGCGCTTCTCGAGACGTGGGAGGGAGATTTGTGACCGTGCCTGGATTCGAGCCCGGCTCGTTCGGTGTGTGACAGAGCGCTAAAGATGGTGCCCCCGGCGTCATTACTCGACAAGTGGACTGAGACAGACGCGTGGGCCCGAAACTCAAGTGCGTGTTGGCGATGGAAAAATTCTGACGCGTCGGTACGGAATGGCAAGCTATCATCATGCAAACTTTGAGCAACTTCACGATGACACCAAATCCAACGTTGATTTTTATTGAAGCGACATCTCAGCATGCCAGCTTAAAAAACGGGATGGACAGCAAGTTATATATTCACAGATCAGTCCGTGAAGCTGTTTGGTCACGGGGTCGTTATCTCAGCATCTGACCTTGTCCACAGGCCGCATCACTAACGTACTGAATACGAGCCGCCTCTGGTATGAAGCCGAAACCCGCACGACCTTCGTTCACAGCCGCCACATAATGTTGCGACATCTTATGAGATCATGTCCTTGTTCTGATAACGTTCTCAGGAAGAGCTTGGGAGATCCCCACAACAACCCGGTCGGTTCCATTGGATTCAAGCCAGGCAGACTCACGGCAGTAAGTCGGTGTAGGTTCCGAAACAGGCATCGAGCTGCGTCTTACAGCGGGGACACTGCGCGCCGCTTCTGTACATCGAATTACTCGTCCCGCTCTTAGACTATGTTCTCAGCATAACGTAGCTTGCTCAGTGCAGCTACGAGGAGCATTACTCAAATATAAAAGCAATACGATCGTCCTTGTTCCTCGTTGAATAGCTGGGAAAGGTTTCTTGATATTTCGATTACAATCTTCGTCGACACAATCCTGAGCAGCAAATTCAAGGCTGAAAATTCTTGAACTAAACATTCTTAACCGAACATGTTCAACATTCTCGCAGGCAATGTATTTTTACGGGTGAAAATGTTTGCCGCCAGAATTTTTTTGCATGCGTTCTCTTCGTACGCCGCATTGATTTATAATGAGCCCTTCAGGGACCTACGGGAACGGTCAGATTAATCTCACTGAGGTTGCGGCACCGTAGGCTTTTCCGAATGGTAAGTTTTGGAACGTTGTGCGTTGCTGTGCTTACACTGCCACAGCAGAACTGCCACTATCATTCTCCTCGTTGTATATGCACATGGCTGAGTGCAAACGCTATTCAATTTTGGCAGGTCGCTATTTTGTGTAGGTCTTCAGAAACGTTCCGTGCCTGAACAGTAATTATATTCAATGTGTTGCTAATGTGTTGAGTTTGTTTCTGGGTCGGCCACCAGGGGCATAGTAAGTCTGCGTAAATTTGAAAGCTCTTGCGTTGAAATAGCGGCCGGCTTCTTGCGCCTTTCAGTTCAGGCAAGGCCGCCATGTCCGAAGTGAAAGTCGCAGACGACTATGTGCCACCCGGCATGCCTATGCATATTTGTGCCATCCATCAGGTGAACCAAGAGTAACCCATCCAGGCACAGCCAGGTGACAGCATATCTGATCAAAGCTTAAAGCAGGACAGACAGATGACCACGGCTCCTACATCCAGCATGTAGCTTCAGCAGTGCACCCAGCTCATCTTCGTGTGCGCTGAGAAGCACACGGACAAGTCGCCATCAGCCGCACTCAGCGCACCGGAGGCGCGGTGGTTGCAGTGGCACGCTCCTTAGCTTTCGTCGCCATTTCGCCGCATTGTTCGGGACATTTCACGGCGCCGGAAGTTTCGCCGCAGCGTTACGCCTACGCACCGGTATGGAAATGCCGCGGGCTACAGAGACCTCCAGGGCCGGCCAGCGACACTCCATAATTCATGGGCAGCGGCGGTAAGACGACAATGATGCCGTCGCCTGACTAGGGCGTGCCGGCGAAGAGCGGGAGGTCAGCCACCACAGCTGGCGCTGCTCCGCCGCCGCACCGCCTCGGGAACCAGACTCCAGACGTCAAACAAGGGCTTCAAGAGATCGAGTTTACCGAAAAACCGCCTTTGAATTAGACGCGCGGAAGCTGACATGCTATCCAGATGCAAACTTTATCCAGATGCTATCCAGATGCTTCAGGCTTTAAGGTCCTCCAGTTTTCGCTTACCATGGGGCTTATGTTCATTATGACATCGTTTGGTCCAAAGCGTCATAGAGAAGGCGCACGAGCGGCAATACTTCGCTAGTTTTTGGCTTGCGAGAAATAAAAGGCTTCTTTCCATTACTCGAATTTCTTGCTGACTTCAGTAAACGTAAAAAGCAACAGAAAAAACAGTTGAATGTACCTTTGCGTTAAATCTCCTCAAATCATTTATGATTTATGAGCATGCCCATTACTATTCACACTGGCGATATGATACCTTCAACGTATCTAGTACCAGTCTCCATGAGTTTGCTTTTCAGGCTCCAGTCAAATTTACCGTGCCAACAAAACTATGATTCAATCCATGGTCATCCCACCTTTTCACGGATCGTAAATTTGATCCATCCTAATCCTGCATGTAGGCAGATATTTCCCATGACAAGCCCTATCAGCACTTTACATTTGAGCTACTATGGATAGTGTTGGCCCCATTCACCAAGCCATTTCAGAGGTAGTGATTACCCGCATCACTCATCAATCATAGTCGTGGCTCTTTTATGTCCCTCTTCTTTTGAACACGTCAGTGAAAAAAGCCAGTCTCATCTTAACCCAGCGCAGTCCATAGCTGAAACTGTGTAGATCTGACCGACCGGTACTATAAGCTGGAGCCCACGTAAAGTCTGCCACGCTCCACGCTCAATGCGCTGTTTCCGACAAAGCGTAACATTGCACAAACTCTAGGCAGTCGGGATGACCTTTCATGGGGTGGATATTTGGAGATTTTTCTAGGACAAAACCTGGATATGGAGATTTTTGCACGATGAGTTCTTGATTGCACTCGTTTGTGCAATGCTGTGAGACTGACGTCATCAGCTCCTTCATGATTCCTTTCAAAGTGTCCATTTTTACCGGCCGTGCTACTCAGCATTACTGCCTTCCAGTAACACATTTCGCTGTGCACACCTTACCTGAACTTTACCTGCTGAATTCGGCATGCTTCTATGTTTTTTTGCGCTGCAAGCTTCGGTCCGAAATGTCTATGTATTCTTTCGTGAAGCGCCTGTGCTAGAGCAAGCAGCAATTTATGTCGTCGTGTAATAGCCTTGGGGGGTTCACACGAGCTCCTTCTATTTTTAGACAGGAAAGATGGCAAATACCGCCAGCAAATTTCATTTAAACTTCAGTGGTGCGGTCCCACCCCCATATTAATTTATGGGCAGCGGATCTATACATCGGTAAAGAAGATTATTCATTTCATACAACGATTCATAACCTGATGTGATGCAAAAGCGCAATCATATGTTGTAATGGACGAACAAAGAGGCAGATACTGGTACTG